CCCCCGCCCGGCGCGGCGGCGGGGGGGGCGGGGGCGGCAGCGGCGGCCGCCGCAGCAGCAGCGGCTGCGGGGGCAGGATTTGGAAAAAGGGAGCGACAAAACATTGAGCCTGGAAAGCACTAAAGCATCACCATACCCACCTGTGGGAGTCTGGGTAGTAGCATGAAAACAGTTTGTTTTTGAGTTGACAAAGTGTGATTTGATCTATAATTTTCCTACGGAACTGTAGATATCCGATTGTAATGTTGTTTATAGCTGCGTTTTATAAGGCTATTTGTGAAACACTTGGCTATTCTGAATGAAATATTATTTTGTGTTTTATTAAATTTTCTTTCCCTTTTTCAGGACCTCAAGTCATTTGTTTATTAGGTTTGAATACTCGTGATTGTCTCTCTGCAGTAATGTAACAACTTTGACCCACAGTTCGTTACATGTAGGGTTACAGGAAGCCATTCCCCAATATGACTATGACTACATATACTAATTCCAATGCTGAATGATGACGTAGGTACATTAAATCATAGAGTTTTACAACGTGAATGTCGATTGATTTGCAGAGATCTCCTCAGTACCATTGATGTTGAAAACCTGTCCCGTGTGTAACTGTTCCAAAGTGGTTGTTGCGATGCAAAAAGTTTGGGAAATTTAATTTTGATCTTATCATACCAAATACATGATTGTGATTCTTGATAATTTATTTATAACTCTGTTTTTGATAGTTGCATTGACTAAGTGTAAATCATTGTCTTTAGTAATGCTGTTCTTTCTATGTTGTTAGTGTACTCCCAATATATTGTAGCTATTGACATTGTATGTTTGTACCAGACACAAGACACAATGCACAATACATACCTTTTTTCTCCATGGCAATGGACCTAATCTCATTAAACACTTGTACTTTACCACATTTGATTTGATCACTCGTTCTGATATTCACACACACACACACATACATACTCACACACACGCGCACACATCTTGCTGCATCCTGTACTTTTAGCCTTACAGTTGAGCCCCAGCACACACCTATCTAGGTTACAGCACTAAAACACGCAGGCGGCAGCAGAGACGGCCGCCGTCGTCAGAGACCTGATTTCATTAACTAATCTCAAAAACATTTAAATTCTGCTCACATTTACAAAGTAAAGTGCACCTTTGCATTTGTGTACTTTCCCTTTTGCTCCAGTGTCACTGCTCTATCCAGTGGCACAACAGAAATGAATTCCAACAAGTTACAGGAGGCAGAAATCCCGATCAGTGAGCTGTGACGTGAGACATTTGAAGTGCACCTCTAAAGGTACGCTGTATTTACCTGCAGTTGTATTTCCTTGGTTTGTGGCCCCTTTTATTTTGCTGTTGGCAAAAGCACATGTGAGACTTTTTGTATTTGACTGGCTTAATAAAATTTATTCTTAAGTGTCTACTAATATTTTACCCTTCTTTATCATGTTCTGTTTGTCATTATAATTTTTTTTGCCTCTTTCCTGAATGGTTTATAGTTACATGCATTTATTGGTTCTTATGCAGCATATTTCAGTAAGAAAAGACAGTTGGGTGAGTTTGACATTATGGCCCAATAAAAAATGGGGGGGAATACAAAAGCAATTGAAGATTTTGTTTTCAATTCCAATTACTTTATAAGCTTTTACATTTTTTACAGCTACATTTTATACAAATGTAGAATTTTTGAATGAATAAATGTGAATTTTCTACGTCTCAAAATATGAAATGAAGTCTAGAGATTTAAGTAATTCTTGGTGAATTTGATGCTGGTCTTAGGTGTTTTTGCAGCGTAGTTTATGGTGAACTGAACCCTATTTAGTAACAGGTGTTTTTGCAGCCTAGTCAATCACCTAGATTTTACTTTCAATATGTTTTTTCCCCAGTAAAGGGTTTTCAGTAGTATTGCTCGACAAGTTGATGGCTGTGACGGTTATTTGGTTGCTGAACCTATTTCAAGATTTCACAGTTCCTTGTTGAGCGTAGTTTATGGTGAACTGAACCCTATGCGTCTGTTTCGCGTCTAATTTGTACTTTGACGGTTGAGCTTGCGACAAGAAACGTCGCAGTACCACCGGAAATCGTGGGGGCGGTGTTGCGCAGTATAACTGGCGTGCGCTCATAAAACGAACAGAACGAGGAAGACAACCACCGGATGCACAAATTTAGGATCGATGAATTAATGAATAACTCTGTCCACAGAACCGCGCTGTGTTTAATGTCCACACAGACGTCCATCGCCTCCTGTTCTGCTTCCGGTAAGGACGTTTCTCTGAGCGGGAACTTTACTACCTGTCACCTGCCATGTTTGTTATTGCCTGAGAAACTGACGTTGGCCTGAAAATGAACTTTGAGTTCAGCACTGCCCTCTTGTGGATATATTGCTGACAACCATGCTTGACGTAAGTCTAACAACTTATGATTTGCACTCGGTTTGTAATATATTTATCCGGGTTGTTGAACTGATGAAGCTCAACATCTTCCCAGTAACTTTCCATGACAGAACTAAAAGTGATAACTCAGTGTTGATATGATGTGATGGATATGTTTAATTTTAATCCAAACATTTTTTTTTTTAGAAAAATCAAGTGTTCGTGCTAAAGATTGTGTGTGGATATGTTTAATTTTAATCCAAACATAAAATAGGAAACTTAAAAAGAAAGAAAGAAAAGGGTCCAGTTGTTTTTTTTTTTTTTACATTTCAGAATTTGAAAGAAAGGATGCAGGTTTTTTTTACATTTCATAATTTATTTGAGCTTTGTGCACACTACAGTATAATGGCCACCTGTTCCTGGGATGAGGAGATGCCAGGATGCTGTGGATATCAGGGCAGTCTGAATGCACTGAAGAGCTGACCTGAGGCCCAGACTCAGACGAGGCACCACAGAGTTTCTGTTTTCAAGCCTCTTCCTCATGAAATCATGCCATCTTCACATCCTCAGTAACTGGTGCCATTTACTTTACAGTCTACATCTTTACTAATCTATTTAATCACATGAAGGAATTCTCACTAATAACATATCTTAACCAAGGACTTTCTCCGTGTAGCGCTGCAGCAGGTATTTATTAATGTCTGCTCGGACCATGGAAATTTCGACTGATGGGTGCCATCTCATTACAGGCTTCCCATCTGGCCCCACCAGGAACTTCTCAAAGTTCCACTTGATGTCGCTGATCTTCAGAGGCTGCCAAAAGAGTCTGCTGGTGTCTCCGAAGCTTTCTCCAACTGGTGGGCACGAGCTCTACCGAAACCACCAAGAGATGAGATGAGTATAGAAACACACTCAAGTTATAATACAGGGCACTGACACAAAGGAATTACATTTCTCATTGACTTACCTTAAGGAAGGTGTAAACTTCTGCCTCATTTTCTCCATTAACGTCACATTTCTCAAACAACTGGAAATTTGGAACAAAGCCATTGCCCGGTCGGACATGCCTGGAATCCAGACAGAGGGCAGCTTATAAGTGGACATACCTCTGGTTACTTAGTAGTGGCTTGGCAGTTTTCCCCTAAACTCAGTACAAACTGAGCAGAAGTTCATCCTACTACACATGAGCTCAATGTTGCAAACAGACAAAGTTCTGTATTTGAGGCAGAGCTAATGAGAAACCGGACCCTGTGGCTGAAGTACACATTTCCTTGACTTGATGAAGCCTCGTATATAATGACAATGGAATTATCAGGTTAAGGTTTCGTCCGTGGATTTGACTGAAGATTCTAATACTGAACCTCATAGTGCACACAATGTCTCTTGTTCAAAATACAAGATTAACCTCCACAACTTACTTTAAACCAGGTAGGATTTCCTGCTTCGCTCCTGGTTCCTGTTTCCCAAATTGGTTGGAGGGAAAGCCAAGAATAGTGAGTCCAAATTGTTTCATCTCATCATGTAGTGCATTCAATTCTGAGAAAAAAAACAAACAAAAACAAAACAATGAGCAAATGTTACCTTATTTAAAACCAAAGATTTTCAGTGTTTTTTGTTTTTTCTTCTTACCCACATACTGGTAGGTGTAACCTCAGTATGTGGCCACATTGACAAACAGGACACTCTTGCCGCGGTAGTCACTGAAGGTCACAGTTCGACTTCCCTCCAGAATTGTCGCGTTGTAGTTGTAAATTCTGTCATTTGTGGTTGTGTTACATCGCTGTGGGTACGGAAACAGGGCAATTTATGATATGTTTACTCTGAAAACAACCACTTTGTTACTATGGACATTAGCCATTAGTTAACTATTACCCAATAAAGGCAATGACAGGACAACAAAAAAAAAAAAAAAAACACTGTAATTAAGGTCTTTTTTTAAGGTTTGGAGGAAATGTATTAATTAAAAAAAACAATAAAATGAATTCAATAAACTGCTTTTGACACCTTCTGCAAACAGATTACTGATCTTCAGTTGTTTGCAAAAGGCCTGTCTAACTGAGGTCGAGTTGAGTCCTAATCAACTTTTGGAGACACGCTGTGGCTGGAGGACAATTTAGTATGTGCACTCAATAGGTGTGTCTTTTCTTTCTTTAACTGCGTTTCTATTTCTCGTAATATAGAGCATATAAAGAGTATCAATTTAGTTTTATTATTGTTATTATCTCCGCTGCTGACTGTCATCGGCGCATGTGTGAGAACTCTGCGTCGTGACAGAAAACAAACGGTGTTTTTTTTTTAAGTAAGTCTTTCAAAGCTTTACTGACGTAATTCACAGACACATTATCAACAGGTGTCCTACCTTGACGAAGACGCCTTCGGCTCCGTCAGCATCGCAGGGCCGCAGCAGTGAGAACAGCAGCAGCGGTAAAAGGCTCCACATCCTCCCACCGTCTCCAGCCATTAGTGACGAGACTGATGTGTCGTCCGCTCCCTCGGGATTTATACCGACCTCAGGTGGGAGGGATCCGGGTGCAGCTGACACTGATGAGATCCTGCTGTGACGTTCTGTGTCATCAAGGAAGGAAAGGAGAGAAGGAGGTGAAAAGGGATAAAATGAAAGAACAGGGGAAGAAATAAAGGCGATAGGAAGGGAGAGAGAAATAAAAGTAAGACAGAAAGAGGAAAGGAATGGAACCGAAGGAAGGAACAAAGAAAGAAATAGAAGCAAAAGCAAGCAGATCGGTAGAATAAAACAGCAGTAAAGAAATACATGAAAGAAAGAAAACGAATGAAAAGTAGAAGTATTCTTCGTGAACCTCCATTACTGCTTATCGACAACATTTGTCCAACTTTGTGACACTAATTTCTAAATTTATATATTAAAGATACTCAATGGTAAATAGCGGTATATTGCATTTCTAGAAACGGTTGATGTGGAAGTGGTCTGTAAAAGATAGCGATTTCTGCTATAATTAATACCAGGGAGCTATAATCAATGTACAGTGTTTATGTTTAGGTGTTTCTGATGTCGGGGCGATTTTAGACCTGAGGTTCAACTTGTCTTTGATGCCTGTAATGCCCTGATGGCGGTGCTGTGACCTGAAATGTGATTTTTCTTTCCCTTCAAAATAAAAATATATATAAAAGAATAAAGACTGTAAATATGGCTGTCTCACTATAGTTTCCCCTTCAAAATAAAAAAAATATATATAAGAATAAAGACTGTGTAAATATGGCTGTCTCACTATAGTTTCAGTATTTAACCAATGGAGGTCGCTATTGAGCAGACTCATCTCCTTTGGGAACAGCAGTGACGTCAGTGAGCGCTGTCTCGGCTGCTGCTGCTCCTTTCAGAGATGGCGTCTCTTTTGCAGCCCGTTAAAGTTGTTTATTTGGTCAAAGGGGAGAAAAGGATCCGATCTCCCTTATCTCAGCTGTATTTCTGTCGCTACTGTTGTGAGCTTCGATCACTGGAATGTGTCTCTCACGAGGTTTGTTGACGTTTTCCTGTTACTAGCCGGTGATATGGTAATGCTAGTTGGTAGCCTCTCTGTTGTCAGGCTACCAGCCTTGACAGGGAGGCGGGACTAGTTCAGCCTATGAGTTTCAATTGGCCGAGTTGCCTCTCAGTCAAGGCACGGCAGTCATTACATTGGCGGAGACATGTTTCTTCCGTTGTATTTAGCCTAATAGCTCGAACAAGCTAACGTTTAACAGCTCATGCTTTTCTTGGCACCAAAATACATCTTTGTTGAAACCTGTAAACAACAAATGTTACATCTGATGAAAGCAAAATATTTCCCATGACTTTATTTGACTGTAGTAAACTGTGTCGCAGTAAAAAAAACAAGTTACGTGGCTTGCAGTTCAGGACACCACACCCAGAGTGGTCCAGATTTTTCTTCTACGATATCTTAAACTAAATGAAGTGGAAACAGGCTGCAGATTTGTTTAATCAACAAACATTTAGATTATATGATGATGCTCACTTTATTAATTTAACTTTAATTTGTCATAATGAATAACGTCTAACCAAATACTTCGGTTCAGTGTGTTGTCGTCACTTTAATTCGATAATTATAGAACAGTGTTGTGGACACATTTTTTATTCATTGTATCACCCTGTTCTGGTCAGGTGGACTCCCACTATTGTCCGAGCTGCTTGGAGAACATGCCCTCTGCAGAGGCAAAACTAAAAAAGAACAGGTGAGAGTGTAGTGATGACGCTGTTCAAACCTATTTATGTTCGACCTCACTTTGAATGATGTTGAACATGTTAAACATTTAATGTGTGAAAAACACCGACCTCACTTTAAATGATGTTAAACATTTAATGTGTGAAAAACAAGATTTAGTTACAGTACAGGACATATATGTATTAAAAGTCATATGCCTGCTTGTCTTTTGATTTGATTTACATATAATATTATGATATATTCAACACTTTTATTTTCATGTTTATCTTTCTGCTTCATTATAAGGTGTGCAAATTGTTTCGATTGTCCATGCTGCATGCACACGCTCTCCACTCGGGCCACTAATATCCCAGCTCCTCTGCCTGATGATCCCACCAAGACAGCAATGAAGAAGGCCTACTACCTGGCCTGTGGTTTCTGCCGCTGGACCTCCAGGGATGTAGGAATGGCTGACAAATCAGTTGGTAGGTGTTCATGTAAAGTATGTATGGGTAATTATCTTTCAGGCAAACATATGTAAATTAGTTCAACTGATTTGTTATTGTTTTTTTTTTCTCTTCTCTCCATGCAGCCAGTGGTGGATGGCAGGAGCCCGAAAACCCTTATACTCAGAGGGTATGTTTCCATCTGTGGTCTTTATAAAAAAATCTGTCAGAGGTGTATTCACATGTTCTCAGATTATGTGTATTTGTGCTTTTCTCATTGTGTAAAGAGTCATCAACAAACTGATTGAGTATTATCAGCACTTGGCTCATCGTGAGAGGCAGGAGAGAGACCGTCAGAAGCTGGCCAGAAGAAGACAGTGCATGCCACTGGCGTTCTCGGTACTTTGACCTTTTTTTCCAAGAGTCTCAAGTGTTCGAACATTTTTATGCTCTGGTGATTTAATTGTGTAAAACAGCTGTTGGAGTTAGTGCTATTTTAGAAAATAATACTAAAGTGCATGGTCTATTGTTATTCTGCTTAGTCTTGAATTTTTTTTCCCACTTTCAGAATTAAAAACATAAATTAATGTTGACCTTTCAGAGTTCTGTGTTTACATTGAAGTTGATGGATGTCAGAAATACAGCTAGCTGCTTTAGAAAGTCTAACACTGTAGCAGCTAATAGCTGCTGTAAACATGATGCGCAAGCTTCATGACAATTAGCTTTATTTGAAATAAAATATTAAAACATAGTGCTTTCAAAAATCACTTTTAGGACTTGATCTGTGATCTCCTGCTTTTCTCCTCCATTGGTGCATTTCTGTTGCTGTTGCATGTTAGAAAATGCCACTAATTTGCTGATTTGCTTCACCTGGTTTTTCTCCCTTTTTTTCCTTTGCTTACACTTTCTGATATTTTGGTTTTTATCCCGCAGCAACACACTATTCATGTGGTGGTGAGTTGTCTTTTTCACAACTTGGCTCTTGGTCTCTTCTGAAACAGTAGCTCCATCCTTTTCTTTCCATTTCTGTCCAATTTGGCTCAACGTGACCTCACAGATCACATGAAGGTCTCCTCGGATACATGAGACTAAGAAAACACACAATGAGATCCTTCATGTTGGTTGGAGGGAGAAGAGAAATGGTGGACTGTATGGGGAAAAATATTTTCCATTCCAGTAGAGTTTAAACCTCTCAGTTGGTCAGACCTGATTCTCTCCCACTATTCAATGAAAAAGGGTGCCGTTGTGGCTTCAGTCTTTCTTTTTAAATCAAGTAAATGTAAATTAGTTTATTTTCATTAACATCAATTTGCCGTCTCTTTTATAGTTTTTCACTTAGGGTTAGTTTTCATTTAGCAAAATAATTTCATTAGGTTTTTTTGGTGTTTTTAAATAATATGGAAGCAAAGTGTCTAAGAATTTGTCAATTTTCTTTTTCTCACATTCTAGGAAAAATATGGCCTTGGAACTAGACTGCAGAGACAGAGGACTGGAGCTCCCATATCAAGCCTGGCTGGTCTCTCGTAAGGACATTTTTCATTTTTGCACATTTTTTCTTTTTATTCCACATTTAGACCTCATCAGTTAGTTGATTGCACTGCAATGATTATCAACCGTCCACTCTGGGCCACAACTGGATTTTAAAGTTTTTATTATCAAAGTTAAAATGTCCTGTGTTCACCACTATTAAGGAAACTGAAAAAAACATATTTACATTCTGAAATGACAACAAAATCTCTGCACTGTTTAACATGCTAATATCACCCCTAGTGGTGAACTGAGGTATAGGTGATAGGAGCCTGAATGAACAATAAACATCAGATAATAATGTTGGACAAAAAAAATATATTTTATGTCCAGCCCCAGAAAACTTCTGCCCCTCAAACAAATATAATTGGTGACCCTTGCTGTAGGCCATTTTCACAAAACGCTGTGGTTGTTAACAGTTGTTTTTGTGTCCCACCTCCAGCCTCCAACAGGGGGAGGAAAAGAAAGAGATCTTCATTGAACCTGCTCAGGCTCTTGATGAAGTGGAGCCACTGCCGGAGGACTTTTACACCAGGCCCATCAGTTTACCTGAAGGTATTATCTCTGCATGGGGACCACATTCAGCAGTGACTCGTGAAGATATCGTTGACTTCACATATCCCTGTTGTTTTAACACCTTTTTCCAGTGACAACGCTGCGCCAGCGGCTCCTGCAGCCTGACTTCCAGCCTGCAGACGTGTCCCAGCTCCACCCCAGACACAAACACCTCCTGATAAAGCGCTCACTGCGCTGCAGAGTCAGTACCACCCTGAGGGATTTTTTGATTATAGAGGTTTATTGATGAAGTGTAATAGTTTACATTTAGATGATTGTTTTTTTTCTTTCCTTCTATAGAAATGCGAACACAATCTGATTAAGCCGGAGTTTAACCCAACTTCAATCAAGTTTAAAATCCATATGGTGGCCATGTGAGTGTGACAGTAAATCTGCCGTGTTCTTATTTAAGATATGATGTGGTTTTGAACCTAATGATCTTGGATTAATTAATGTACAATAATAGTAATATCTGTCTTATCGTCTGTTGATTTACCTCACAGGAGTTATATTCCCGAAGTGAGAATTATGTCCATTCCGAATCTGCGTCTCATGAAGGTCAGTGTGTGCAGCGCTTTAATGAACTAAATAAAAATCTAAATCTAAAGTCATGACTTACTATATTTTTTCCCCCATGGTGCCTATGAAGGAGAGTCAGGTGCTGCTGACCTTGACCAACCCAGTGGAGAACATCACCCACATCACATTGAGTGCCTGTGAGGAGGAGGATCCTGATGACATCAACAGCACTGCCAAGGTATTTGTCTTAAGTCTAACATTCTGTTTGGTTGAGTTTATGTTTGAGCTCCATTTAATGGAGGTTTATCTACTTCAAAGAGCCATTTAGTTTTTTTGGGTCTAAAAACTGGATGTTGCATCAGAGCGTTTTGCTAAAATCTCTCTAGCGCAGATGTTAAAGTGCAGAGCCGTTGGCTCTTTCACTCTGCAGCTTCACATCTTTAATTCAGGGCGGTCGGCGTCGGTTTTCACCTCCATCTGTCAGCTGTCACATGCTAAGACCGCTGTGTTCCTATGGAAAATGTGACGCCACGCCGTCGCCTGTTCTCCAGCAGATGCTGCGAGTCCCTCAGTGACTAAAGGTCGTTGGCCACCGGAGTGATTAAAGTCCTGGTAGACGGAGGATGAAGAAACACTGCGGGCTAAAACTTTAATGACTAATTCTTATTCATGTGATGTTCAAACAGACGGAGCAGACTCTGACTTTCTGTCTGATCACATATTTACACACCTGGGAGGAAAGGGAAGACTGGGTGAATCAGATTCGACCTCCCACCTCCTCCTGGATGTCGTACACATGAACCTTTACCAGACGTCTGTAAACACTGGGGTTCACAGGTTTTTTAGAGTGGGCTGTAATGTTTGGTAAACACAGCAGCAGGTGATCTGGTTTGGCAAAAAGAGAGGCAAAAAAACTTCCAGAAACTTTCAGAATTATACTTAAAATATTCCAAAAGTGGAAACTTTCCCTGGAAATAATGGCTATTTATAGGAATAAACTAATAAAAATACAAAGATCTTTGTGACTAACAAGTTTTAGTTTCTCTCCTCTGACCCAATGATGTACTTGTAGTATGTGGTATTTTTTTCCTGAGAGCCTAAAGAAAATACTCTAAAAGACAGTAAAAGTCTCTACATGCTCTCCACCTTTTCATGCTCATTAGTAAGATTTGTTTTAACAAGAAACTGTAGATTTTCAGGAACATGATTTTGATTGATTTTATTTAATTTTTTCCACCCGTTTGTTTAGGTTATAGTTCCTAGCAAGGAGCTGATATTGGCAGGGAAGGACGCTGCTGCAGAGTACGATGAACTGGCCGAACCTCAGGATTTCCAGGACGACCCAGAGTATATGAAACACACACAGTTTAATTTTTCTTTTATTAAAGTTGCCATCATGAGAATGTTCAACTCTGACCCCGGCGCTGACCCGTCTCTCATCTATTCCACAGTGTGGTTGCCTTCAGGAAGTCCAACAAGATTGGTTTCTTCCTAAAAGTCATCCCTCAGAAGGAGGACGACGGCGACGTCACGATTGCCCTCAAGATCAGACACGACTTCCGCAACCTCGCCGCTCCACTCAAGTCCAGCGAGGAGGCTGGCGACGGCGCTGTCGATGTCATATGGCTCATGCACCACGTGGAGCTGAGGCTGGGACCCCTGGCTTCATGAACACCACCACACACTACAGTCTGGACCAGGCCCAGTGTTGGGGCTGAACTAGTTTCTACAGACAGTGGGGTTTGTTTCATTGGAACTGATTTCTGATCCGGCTCATTAGTGTAAGAGTATTAATGATTTTGAAATAACTTTTGTTTTATTCACCTAAGCTTCAGTTCCATCGCACAAACTCTAGCATCAAGTTTTCTTTTTCCGTATTTGTGGCTCGATCCATATCATGATCGTGACCACGTCGTACTTGACTACATTAATGTCTCCCGCCGACACAGAACCGATAATGAAGTCGCTTTGATTAGAAACACTGCACTTGTTGTTGTTGCTCCAGAGTGAGGAAAAAGTATTAGATTTGTCTATTTATGTCGAGAGAGCAGAGTGAGTGGAACGTGTAAATAAAACGCTGAGGCCGTGAACAGAATCAAAGATGAGAACACACGACAGGCAACCTGCGAGCTCCGGTCCTGTGTCGTCCTGTTTTCATAGTCTCAGGTCCAAACCTGGACCTGGCCCATAGTCCGACTGTCGTTTTAGAATCTTTGACATTAGGGACATGACGTAAGCACTGTAAATGACGTGTAGTCTTAACGTTACCATGTGTGGAGACACTCGGATCCTACCTTCTACCCTGGATGTATCGGTCACAAGCTGCTGTCAGTGTTTGGTCTCCGTTGTGTAAACTCAGTAAAATCCAAGGTTCAGAAACACAGTTGGGGCAGTGGTGGCTTAGTGGTTCAGGAAGGGGACTTGGGCCTGGAAGGTTCGAGTCCACCAGCGGCCAAGTTACCACTGAGATGCTCTGAGCATGGCACCGTCCCCACCCACTGCTCCCCCTGCTCACTTATATAATTCACCTTCCCTTTCCCCTTTCCAGTTAACCATCTGTAATTGCAAATAAAAATAAACAATATAAAATCATGTGATACTGTAACAGACTCCACTGGTTTGTATCAACTTTGTTTTTTCCTAAAAATCACCAACTTTACTGTGGATCCTTGCAGATTTGTACTGTGGATACACAAATATTTTTCAGATTCATATCATGGTACAGTAGTTTCATATATATATATATATGTGTATATTGTTTTTGTTTTGTGGTGGGCAGACAGAGTTGTTTGCTGTAGATTCAATGGTTTTCTGGCACAGAATGTGCTCTTTCAGTAACAGGAGGGATTTTCTTGATGATTTTAAACCCCACGGATTATTGTAAGGATGTCAATGTGTTACGGTAAACAAGGATGAAATATTTACTGACACAACAGTTACTTAAAACTGGGGTGGGGATCAAATCGATCTTCACCAGTCATGACAAACACTCCTGGTTCTATCGTGTTGATAAGTTGTCACACACAAAAAAAAGTGTGACCACAAATAAAAGTAATTAGAGTTCTGTTCAGATTTCATACTTACATACTGAACTTTGCAAAAACAAACCGTTGGTGTGGCGTTTGGGTGTTGCTCGTATATTTTGATTGGAGCGCTCTTTGACCAATCTCCTAGTCTGCTAAGTGTTGTTTTCTCGTCATGATAAACCGAGAAAAAGCTAATAATAATGTTGGTGAAAGTAAACTCCAAGCAAATCAAAATATGGACCTTAATACCAGCTGACGATTCTCAGAGTAACTAACTTGTTTGACGCGAAGGCGGTGAAGTTCATCACCGACCTGCTCCAATTGACGTTAATGGGGAGTGAGTTAAAGGCGGCTGAGGAAAACTGTTAGCACATAATGACAGTTACAATTGACGGACACGGAGCTGCACAGCGCATCTTTATCAACCCGCA